CGAGTCATGACCCGAAAGCCCATGGGCAGTGGTTTCGGGGGGGTGCATCGGCATCGCCCGTTCGTCGCCGGCGGGGGCTGGACAACCCACCCCGCCCAGGACAATGCAGATGCCCTATCTGGGGCCCAATCGCCGATCTATCGGCGATGCATCGCTGATCTCAGCTTGACGTTTCCTCTCCCGGAGCCAGTCCTCCCAGCAGCGTTGTCTCCCCCCTCCTTCCCTCGGCTGAGAAGCAGCTGCGTAATCATACGCTTGCGGAGGTCCGCGCGGAGTTCTTGGATCGGCGCTGCTGGACCTCCCCCTGCCGCGCGCCAAGGCGGGGGGTCCAACGCCGATGACAGAAACCGCGCGGACCTCCGAAAGTACATTCGGCGGCGAGCCCAGGGGGGAAGTGAGAAGAGGCGGGCCTTCTCAGAAGGCTCGGAAGTCCTCCTGAACATTTTTCCAAGCCTTTCCTGAAGACGCAGAAAACCTCTCGGGATGCGCGAGGGGCTTCTGAGAAGCCCCAGCGCCTTCTGAGAAAGCCTTCTCCTTCTCATTCTCCCCCTTGGTGCGCTGCCGAATGTGTGGTTTTCGGGTCATAACTCGGGTCTCTGGGAGCCGTTCGGAATGATCTGGGCACCCCTGGAACGCTCTCGGTGAGGCGCAGATGCTGGAACCCGAGAGCTGACGAAAACGCCCGAAAACCGTTCGATCGCCGCCGATACATGTTTATATATTCAGTTTGTTGTTCCTCTGCCCCCTGCAGGTCTCTCTTGTCCCGCTTGGGCGGCAGACTTTTCTGGCCACCGTCCCCCTGCCGCTGCTGCTCTCGCTGCCAAGCGTTCTCACCGGGGCGCCCTCCTTCACTCGCTCCCTTCCTCCACCTCCTCCTCCTCCTCCTCCTCCTCCACCTCCTCCTCCCTCTCTCCCTCCCTCCCCTGCCCTTCCTTCTTTGCTTCCTCCCTCCCTGCCTTCCTTCCTCCTCCTCCTCCCTCCCTCCCTCCCTCCCATCCCCTTCCCCTCCCCTCCCCTCCTCCTTCCTTCCTTCCGTCCTTCCTTCCTCCTTCCCTTTGCTGCCTGACTGCCTCCCTCCCTTCCTCCCTCCCTCCGTGCCTCCCTCCCTCTCTCCCCCTTTACTCGAGATGCAGTAGTCTTTGTTTTTGGCCTCGGGAGGCATCGGGAGAAGGCCTCCTTCTCCCCCTCCTGGTCCTGCTGCTACTACGGTCGGACCGAGGTGTAAGATCGAGGTCGGTTCGAGGAGGGTACTCTAGTGTTCTTAGTGTTTGTTGGATGTTCTTGTGCATCCTGGGGGAGTGTACCCTCGAGTGATCTTCTGGTTCGGGGTGTTTTGGCCAGCGGAGGGTCTCATGTTCTTGAAGGATGTGATTATGTCCTAGGTCCGACCGTACTCCTCATCTCCTCCCCGCCCCTTCCTCTCCCGCCTCCTCCTCTTCCCCCTCCGCCCTTCCCCCCTCGAATCACGCCTCCCCCGCCTCTCCCTCCTCTCCCTTCTCCTCCCCTTCTCTCCCTCCTCTCCCTCTCCTCTCCCGCTCCTGCTCCTCCCCTCCGCCCCCTCCTCCTGCTCCTCCTCCTCCTCCTCCTCCTCCTCCTCCTCCTCCTCCTCCTCCACCCCCTCCTTCCCCCTCTCCCTCCTCTCCTGCTCCCGCCCCCGTGGCTCTTCCTCCTGCTCCCCCGGCGTGAGCGCGGCCGCCTCGCTCAGGGTGGGCCGGGCCGCGCGCCGCCTCCCCTGCGATGGGCGCTCCACGCTTCGGAGCGGCACCGGCGGCCCGAGCGATGGCGGCCCGAGGGCGATGTTGCGGTGTTGCGCGGGAGCGGCCAGGTCGCCGCGCGGCAGGGGCTCGGGGAGGAGGAGCGCAGAGCCGACGACGAGCGGGGGGGGGCCTGGCTGGCAGCCCCGCGACGAAGAGGCAGGTCTTCTCGGCTAGGGGGGGGGGGATCCAGCGGCCAGTGGCGGGCGAGGCTGCGAGCCAGCTGCTGCCGACGACGGGGCTGCAGGCCACCCCAGCGCCGGCCTCTGGGCCACGCGCGCCGCCGGAGCAGGGCGCGGCAGGAGGGGGAGCGCCGCCGTGCAGGGAGCGGCGCTGGCGACGCGCCGAGGCTGAGCCTGGCCCAGACCTACAGAGTCGGGGGTGGACAGAACCCCCAACAGTGACACGTCGATTAGTGAATTGTCCGTTTTCGGTTCTCGAGAGGGCGCCGTGGCCGTTATTTTCCAGGCTTGCGCCCGCCAGGTTTGGGCCTCAGGTCGTTTTCACTAAACCACGTTTTACTAAAGGGGGGTCTGTCCATCCCCGACAGAGGCAATCAAGGCAAACGCGATTATGCTGGTCTGCGTGCTCCACAGCGGTGGTATTCTTTTGTGTCTCAGCGCGCGGTGGGATGTCTTCACGCCACACTTTGCACATGGTGCATTAGATGTGCCCTCCATGGTATCTCGCTTGTGCTAGTCTGCAACGGATGGCTATGTTGGACGAGCAACGTTCTGTAGCAACGGTCTGCTCCCCTCAGCTTGGCATACGTCGTGTGTGCTGCCCTCGAGGACTAGTCTTCGAGGTGCTTGCAAGGTTTGCGGTCGTTCCTTGCTCAGGCGCAGCGCCCCATTAGCTGTGGTTCTTGACCTCGGCAGCTGTTTCTTCAATACGTGGCGTGGCCTAGCGTTGCCCGGTTGGCGGTCCCCGTGCGTCAGAGAAGCTCAGAGGTGTGGCACAGGCTTGCACGAGACGCATCCCGGAGGCAACTCAGATCACCGTTCGCTGCCTCGTCGGTCACCTATTCCTGAGCAGATTTCTGCTCCAGCGTGCCGCGTGTCCGAGCGGCTGGGCTCACAGGCAAACCTTCTCATCCTTCTCTTGCTCCTCCTATTCCTCCGCCTCCTCCTCTTCTTCCCCCCTTCTCCTCCTTCTCTTCTTCTTTCTCTTCCTCCTCCTTCTCTGGATGGGACTACATCTTAAAGATCGCGACTGAACTACATCCCACGGCGAGTCTGGGCAAGTCCTAACTGGGTTTCGAGAAAAGCGTTTCGAAGGTCTGTCAAAGGCAAGGTGTACGGGCGGGACCGTGTGGTCGAATCGATTTAGGAACCTTGCATGTGAACTCTCGAATTCATCGGAGGAAGAAGCAGAGTTCCCAGCTGAGTTTCTCTGCCATATTCTGAAGAGCCGCAGTGGACTCATCATCGTCATGATTAGCAGCATCATCAACATCACAATCATCACCATCCTCATCCTCCTCATCCTCACCATCATCACCGTCATCATCATCAGCAGCACCAGCATCATCAACCTCATCATCAACATTATCACCGTCACCATGACCACAAACATCACCGTCACTGTCACCATCACCATTACCATCATCTTCATCATCATAATCATCGTCATCATCACCACCACCATCATCATCCTCACGATCATCATCAGCATCCTCATCCTCACCCTCACCATCACCATCACCATCACCATTACCATCATCATCATCATCAGCATCATCAGCATCATCATCATCATCATCATCATCATCGGCATCATCATCATCATCCGCAGCAGCGACATCACCATCACCATCATCACCATCATCATCACTGGCATCATCACCACAATCATCCTCAGCATCATCGACACAACCACTATCATCACCACTGTTATCATCATCATCATCATCATCATCATCATCAACATCAACAGCATCATCATCACCATCACCACCACCACTATCATCATCATCATCATCATCATCACCACCACCATCAGCACCATCACCATCACCATCACCATCACCATCACGACCATCACCACCATACTTATCATCATCATCATCATCATCATCATCATCATCATCATCATCATCATCATCATCATGATCCAGGGCGTCCCCGTCCTCGTCCTCTTTCCTCTCCTCTTCCTCCTGCTCCTCGTTTTCCTCCGCCTCCTCCTCTTCCTCCCCCTTCTCCCCCTCCTCCTCCTCCTCCCCGTCCTCCTCTCTCCTCCTCCGCCCCCCTTTTCCCCACCATTCCCGTGCCCCCCTGCTGGTCAGCGCCCGCCCCCCCTTCCTCAGACCCCCCCCGATCGTCGCCAGTCGGCGCCCGCGCGCCGCCTGCCGCCGGGCGGTGGGGGGAGCCCTCCGGCGGAATGGCGCACGTGACCTACCTCGCCCGGCAGAACGACGGCCTCATCCTGGTGGAGGAGTGCGGTCGTCGTCGTCGTCGTCGTCGTCGGGGGAGGAGGGTGAGGAGGAGGGAAGAGGAGGGGGATGAGGAGGAGAAGGAGGAGGGTGAGGAGAGGAGGATGAGGAGGAGGAGGACCAGTGCAAAGCCAAGACTCATCAACGATGTTGGAATAAAGTCTCCCTCTAAGCTCTCTTGTCATAGGCCCCATACAATCGTTCATTTCCATTCAAGGAAGTACCCCGTTTGGAGACAACCGCTGGAATATCCTGAAGCGTGCCCAAACATCATCATCGGAAGTGCAACGCCACGAATCATCTTGACTGTTGAGTCTTCACGATCCCGCTTCGTGCCAGAATACCGTTCCTAGGATTCCATCACCTCTAACCTGTGTAATTATTGCGGCCTGGCAATCCTGAGTCGTTCCTCATCGTTTCTGGTGCGTTAACCATGGGAGTCCGCGAAACTCCGATACTTTCTTAAGACGAATGTGCGCGGCGCGAAGGCGAGAGCCACATGTTGAGAACGGCCCGCCTTCAATCCGCGAAACTCTTGCCATTTTTTCAGATGATTGTGCGCGGCGCTGGGGCGAGAGCCACATGTTGAAAACGGCCCGCCCTCAATCCGTGAAGCTCTTGCAAGTTTGAAGACGGATGTGCGCGGCGCTAGGGCGAGAGCCACATTTTGAACCCCCCTGGCCTCAATCCGTGAAGCTCTTGCAACTGTTGAGACGGTCGTGCACGGCGCTAAGGCGGTAGCCACATTCTGAAACCAGCCCGCCCTCAATTTGTGAACCTCTTGCCCAATTCTCAGACTAGTATGTGCGGCGCTGAGGCGAGAGTCACACATTGGAAGCGGCTCGCCCTCCATCTGTGAACAAGGGTGTCAACTTCTAAGCTTCAGGATCATGAATAGCGAGGTCGGTTCAAGCGAACCGCCCAGCCCGCCCTTCCGACTGGCCTCGGGGTGCGACAGGTAGAAATTATGTATAAGGAAATGGAATGGAGGCGGAGGAGGGAGCAGAAAGGAGGAGGAGGATGGGGAGGAGGCGACGTAGGGAGGAGGTTGAGCAAAGAGAATGAGGATGATAAGGATGATGGGGACGAGGATACGGAGCAGGTAGCAGGAGGAGGAAGAAGAAGAGTAGGAGGTCGAGGTGACATTGGAAAGGAAGAGCAGGAGCAACAGTAGTAGAAGGAGACGGAGCATGCAAGAAGAGGAGGAGAAGGGAGAGGGGGAGGAACAGGCGGAGTTGGAGGAGGAGGAGGAGGAGGAGTACGAAGTGAAGGGCGAGGAGGAGCAGTAGCACCAACGGCTGGCGGCAGACCTGGGATGACGCGAACAAAGTGACGCAGACGATCAAGAGTCAGGCGAAGCAGCTGCTCAGAAAGCTCGGCAGCATGCCTCCCCGGTGCCCGCCCGCCTCTCTTCGTCGTCTTCGTCTTCTCCTCTCTCTTGTTTCACTTCTTGTCGAGGACTGCCGCTGCGTCCGTTGTGAAGCGCGGCGAAGGGTGTCCAGAGCGGGTCCGCCAGGGCTCGAGTTCGACCCCCTTGCTTTTCAGGATGAGTCTCCTCCTCTCCCGCGCCTCCGCCCACCGCTCTCTTGCCAACACGCGCTCTCTGCCGCGGCTGGCCCTAGCCGTTCTCACTGACGAACTGCTGCTCTCCATGGGTGCGAGTCCTCCTTCCCCCCCCAGCCTAGGAGTGCTCCGACACTCTGAATTCCTCCAAGGGTAGCCGCATGATGTCGGACCGAGCTGCTCGTACATGTTTGGACAGCTATGTCACGACGGGCTCGAGAATAAACAAGGCTTCGTCGGGTATTTCAGCAAGGAGTTCTGCGAGCCGTTGAACATGCCGTTTGCACATCCTGCCAACAGACAGCGTGGAAAGGCGGTATGATATGGAGGTGGAGGTGGGTATCGATATGGAGGTGGACGTGGACACAGCTCCAGGTCTCCGGATACACGCCCGAGTTTCACCCGCTTGCTCTGGACACCTTTCAGTTCAGCGCGGGGCATCTGGAACGTGATGCCAATTCCACGTTTTGGGGCACCCCGGGCCAAGAAGTAGCGACACTTTCCCTCGGTGGCGAGCCCGGGGGGGAAGCGAGAAGGGGCGGGCCTGCGCAGAGGGCTCGGAAGTCCCGCGGCCTTCCCCGAGGACGCAGAACACTTCTCAGAAGGTGCGAGGGCTTCTGAGAAGTCCCGCCGCCTTCTGAGAAGGCCTTCTCCTTCTCGCTTCCCCCCCTCGCTCGGTCACCGACTACCGCTCGGGAGCACCAGGGGGCAAGACGCGACGACCGTTACGGGTTTCGAGGCACGCGCCCTTTTTCATCCGCCGTCCTCCTGCCCCCCATCCCGCCCCCCGGGCGCCCGCCCAGCTTCACAGGACGGGTGGGCCACTGTTGCTGGGCGTGCAAGGAGGCCAGCGCATGGGACACGCACCCGATGTGGACGGGGCCCTTCTTGAGACATCCTGGAGGGCCTACTGGAGGCGGCGGATGGTGGCCTTGATGCGCCCGATGTCTAGGAAAGGAGCCCTGGCCCCCGCCCCTCTCTGCGGTCAACCCGCGTAGTAAGGATGAGCGATTTTCCAAGGTTGCCCTTGCATCCCTCCCCTTCGGCCCATCCTTGGCCGCGTTCGCTGGCCGTGCCCCGCTCGCAAAGTGCCGGCATGGCCTTCCAAGGCCCTTGCCTCCTTATCGTGCGCCCTTCTCATGCGGGTTGTTGGCTTCAGACGGAGGGCGCCCGCCCGCTAAGAACCCGCCTCTGGCCGCCTTCCCCGCTGCTGCCTCTGGCCGCCGGTGCCCTCTGGCCGCCTCAGCCCCCCCCGCTGCCTCTGTCCGCCTTTTCGGCCGCCTCTGGGCGCCGGCGCCTTGAGTCTCTCAGTGCGGGGTCCCCGGAGGTCTGGACCTTCTGCCAGGGCCGGCTCGTCATCCTGAGCCGTTGCTTGACGGCGGGGCCCGGCGAGGGCCCCCAGAGACTGTAATAGTAATGAGCTGCCGTGTGCGCGCGCCTGCAGCTCAGCGCGTCCAGTGGCTCTGCCGCAACTGCGGAGAACTTCCGCTTCGGGCTTTCTCCAGACGTTGGAGGTCCGGGCTCCGTGGTCAGGGCTTTCGGGTCCTGAGTCGGCCCCCTGGCGGCCTCTCGGGGCGATCCAGGCATCCCCGGGACGCTCTCGGCGAGGCGCAGCCGCTGGAGGGCACCGCGAGGCAGGATCACCTCCGGGAATCGACGAAAGCAGCCGCGCAGCCCGCCCCGCGCCCAGCCCGTCCCGCGCCCCCAGTGAGGTGCTCCGTGGAGGCCGCCGGAGATTTTGTCTTCCACTACGCCGCGGGCTCGGCGGTTACCCTCTCGCCAGTGCCCAATTTTGATCCGATCGATCCGCTTCGACATCGATCTCGGCTCTGGCATTTGGGCGGTCCGATGCGGCTCGATGTTGTCGTCGGAGGTTGCTAGAGGTGTCCCTGGCCCAAGTTGCCCCCAGCTTTTCGCTCGTTTTTGGAGCCCCAGGGGCCCCCTGGGCCTCGAGAGAGGTGCTCTGGAGGCCGTGGGGGCCTCCTCTGAGAATCCTGCGGGGTACCCCTGGCCCAGGGTGCCCCCTGGGGCCTGGGCCCTCTGGGCCTCGTGAGGGGTGGAGGCCGTCCGGGTCACCCCGAGAGTCCTGGGTAAAGTCACACAAACATAAGAAAGGGCCCTCTGGGGCCCACGGAAAGTCTCGTGAGGGCCCTCTGGGTCGAAGAGAAAAGCACACAAACATACGTTTTTGGCGCTCCGCGCGGAATTCTTGGATCGGCGCTGGGCCCCCCCAGGCGGCGCCTCCAGCGCCGCACCTGGCGCGCTCGGCGCGCCGGGGTGGTGGTGGTCCAGCGCGGATGCAAGAAATCCGCGCGGACCCCCAAAGGTTTATGTTCGTGTGGTGTTTTGTTCCTCTGCTGGGGGCACCTTGGGCCAGGGGCCCTTCTAGCAGCACGCGATGCTGGCATGGCGCTGCTGTGGATTCTGCGCGGATCCAAGAAATCCGCGCGGACCCCCAAAGCTTATGTTTGTGTGGTGTTTTGTTCCTCTACTGGGGGCACCTTGGGCCGGGGGCCCTTCTGGCAGCACGCGATGCTGGCATGGCGCTGCCGTGGACTCTGGCGCAGCCGGCCCGATTCGATTCTGACTCCGGTCCGGTGCAGCCCGATTCGATGCCCGTTTCGATCCGATCCGATTTCCCCATGCGGTGCGCACCGACCTTTGCTCTCGCGCGAGGGGGGGCGCCCCTGGCTGGGGGCGGCGGGCTCGCGCGGGCGCGAGCGGCGTCTCGGGCCGCCTCGGTGTCGAGGCGCTCTGGTGTTCAGCGTTCCGCCAGGTCGGCGCCCGTCCTCCTGGACTTCGAGTGTTACGTTTCTTTTGTCAGTTATTTGTCGTTTGTTTGTTTTGTTTTGTTGCTGTTTCACTACTGTCTGCGACTTGATCGATACGTTTGATACCTGTGCGTATGTGCTTTCGTGTGTGTGTGTGTGTGTGTGTGTGCGAGCGTGCGTGCTTGCGTGCGTGCGTGCGTGCGTGCGTGCGTGCGTGCGTGCGTGCGTGCGTACGTGTGTGTGTGTGTGTGTGTGTGTGTGCGTGGTGTGTGTGTGTGTGTGTGTGTGTGTGTGTGTGTGTGTGTGTGTGTGGGGGTGGTGGGGGTGCGTGTGTGTTGTGTGTGTGTGGTGTGTATGTGTGTGTGTGTGTGTGTGTGGGTGTGTATGTGTGTGTGTGTGTGTGTGTGTGCGTGTGTGTGTGTGTGCGTGTGTGCGCGCGCGTGCGTGCGTGCGTGCGCGCGTGCGTGCGCGCGTGCGTGCGTGCGTGCGCTCCCTTCTCTTACGCGGGTGTTGCTGCTCGTGTGCCAGCCGTTTCTCTCGTGCTCGGCTCCGCCGCTTCTCTCCCCGCGCCTCGGGCGTCGGGCCCTGGGGCCGCCGCCCCGGGGCCTGGGCCCATGCAGGGACGGGGCAGAGCCTCTCCCCGGGGGAACGGGGCCCGGAGGAGGAGGAGGAGGAGGAGGAGGAGGAGGAGGAGGAGGAGGAGGAGGAGGAGGAGAGGAGGAGGAAGGAGGGGGGGGGGGGGGGGGGGGAGGGGGAAGCAGGGGGGAGGGGGGGGGGGGCCTCCCCGGGCCCCCCCGGGCGGAACACGTCGCCCCGAGGGCCGTCGGGGCCTGCGCCGCGCGCGAGCGGCTCCGCGCGCCGCTCGAAGTTTGGTAGGGGCGCCCGAGGATTCTCACTCGGCGGCGAGCCCAGGGAGGGAAACGAGAGGGGGCGGGCCTCCTTCTCAGAAGGCTCGGAGGCCCCCCAGCCTCCTGAGAAGTTTTCCAAGCCTTCCCCGACGACGCAGAAAGCTCATCAGCAGGCGAGGCCCTCTGAGAAGCCCCGCCGCCTTCTGAGAAGGCCTTCTCCATCTCACCCCCACAGCGCTCGCCGCCGACTCACCCCTATGCGGGGAGCTTTTTTGGGGGGAGGGGGCTCAGCTGGCCACCCCACCGGTCCTGGCCAGTGCCACCCTGGGTGTGGGCCTGGCGCATGCGCCTTCCCGGCCTGGCCACAGGGAGGCGTGCGCTTCGATCCTGGATCCAGGATTGGCCCTGCAAGGATCGGCGAGGTGGTCGGTTGACGTCCCCCGTTTTCTGGGTGGGGGGGCGCAGGCAAGGTCCATAAGCTTCCACTGCTGCTGCCCTTGCCTGCGATGCTCTGCTCTCCCCAGCCAGGCTTGTTCCACAACCCTGGAGGCCTCGTGCTGTTCGCCTCGGTGTGCCGGGACTGCGGGGCAGCTGGGGGGCTTGCAGGCCTTTCAGAGGGTCCGCTTCTTGGCCGATTTGCTTGCGGGCCCCTCGCGTCGGCATCGTCAAGCCGATTTCCATGCCCACTGGTCCATGATATCTCGGCCCCACCAGCCCAAGCACCCAGGCGGGGAGATCCCGCGAAGCCCGAAGGAAACAACACGTATCCCCACCCAGGGGGGGGCGCTAGCCAGTGGGCCCAAAGCTACGCCAGCGGGGCTGGAACTCGGCGAGACGATGCTCATCGCGCTCCCTTGTCGGCGGGTCTGAGGGGACGCTGGAGGGCTGGGTGGCGTGGTGTGTCGCGCGCAGGCGGAGGTACGAGCTCGGCCCGATACAGAGACGGGAGGAGGAGGAGGAGGAGCAGGAGGAGGAGGAGGAGGAGGAGGAGGAGGAGGAGGAGGAGGAGGCAGGGCGGCCGCAGTGTCCAGGCCGCCCACACGGGGCCGCAGCAGATGGGGTCGGACTCGGAGGGTCGCGCCGCGTCGGGGATGGGCTCGATTCGGAGCTTCATGCGCGGAACGGGCATCGAGGTCCCAGGAAGTGCTTTCCGGGACGGCCTGTAGCTGCTGGGGTGGAAGCGATCGGGAGGGGGACTGTGTAGCGTTACCGCCAGGCATCCACAAGGCTACCTTTCGCCAGATCTTGGCGCATATGGCTTCCTGGCGTGGCCGGCACCAAGACCTGGCCCAAAATGGGTTTGTGGAGGCTGGCGGTGCATGTTTTCCCGCGCCGCACCCCTCACACAGTTGCCGGCCAGCGGTGTCTCAGAATGTCTCTGGTGGGACGCTCTCGGTGCAGTCGAAGATTTGGCTTCATTTGTGACAGCACGGGGAGCCCTTGCGCGTGAGGGCCGCTGAAGGCTCCAGCAGCTGCGCTTGGGGATGACCCGTAATTTCAGAGTGTGCACTCGGCATCGTCAGGCACATCCCCATCCCCAGTGGGCCAGGGCTCTTGAGCGCCACCGTATTCCCTCAAGGCGGGGATGGATGCCGCGGAGCCTGATGGATACATAAAGAAAACATCCCCCCTGGGTGGCGAGGGGGTACACTGGTCAGGCAGTGGGGCTAATGTTTTCCCAGTGGGGATGGGGATATTTTTTACACGTCACCACTTGCGGCGTCGGAGTTTTTGGTTTTGCGTTCTTGGGGAACCCAGGGCGCCCTCTAGGGTGCGACGTTATTCACGCATTGCGCATCGCGCAGCGCGAAGCGCAAAGTTAGGCGCCCGATGTCAAAGTGCGACCCTCGCACACTTGCGGTCCATCAAACCGACGCTCCCGATCTCAAGCTCAGTGACGACGCGCGCACATCGTCACACACAGAGACACACACACACACGCTCGTGTGCCCTTGTGTGTCCTCTCAGGGCTGCGTTGCAATAAAATCTGCGCGCTCAAGCTAGTGAGCGTTGTTAGCTGGGAATTCGCGCTTTGACGTTTTTCCCCTCTTACGTATGCTACTTTAAACGGAGAAGGTTAAAGGCGAGGTATAAATCGAGCATGTACCGCTGCCGTGCCTGGCTCAAGCCGGGCCCGGCCAAATATATGACTCTGCCTCACTGAGGCGCACGACTTGCATCAGAGATCGGAAAATACCTTTTCCACTGACGATGCCCATCCTATCCTTTACTCCAGATCCCATGCTTCGTCTTGCACTCTTGCTCATGCGATATGAGCCAAAGCCTGGGATATGGCAACGCTTAAAGCGTAACACATACCTAAGCTTACCAGCTTGTTTTCGACTTGGTAGCGGAGCTGGCTACACTCTCGTGTGGCTGGCTCTCGCTCTGATTCCTGTAATCCACGGCACAACTTGGTGGACTACTACTACGGTGGAATACCATGTTGCGCCGGCTCTGCGAGGAGCGGAGCCAGTCCGCGATCGAGCTAGCGGGGCAACCCGCGAACTCGAGACGCTCTCTCCTACTTCACTGCGCTACTTCACTCCCGACTTCCACCAGATGCCAATCGGCAACTCGATCGAGAACGTGGTCACCCTGCGGGGCTACCCGCAGCGGGGCCACCTGCATCCCGTGCCAGTCAGGCGCCTCACGGCTACTACGCCAGAGCCTGACAAACCACAGCCTAAACCAATCACCGAAGCCGAAATGCACATGCATTGGATCAAGATAACTATATTCGGCATTCTGTGGGTAATAATGGGATGTGCTGTGGGATACATGCGGCAGGGGATGGACGACACGCGTACTACTGGCCCTTCATGGGACCCTGCCGGTACTACGCCTTTTCGCGAATACGTTCGCGAAGTACATGCATGGTTAAACGTAACGAGTGGCAATATGACACCACCACAACAAGCTGCAGCACTACAACGAGGCCTTCAAGGTCTGGCTCGTCGTATCGCCATGCAGGTCCCCTCCCAGATCATCAATTATGGTGTAACTGTCAATGGACAGCCAACGGATGCAGTAACATATATACTGTACTTACTGAGCACCAAATTTGAAAATCTGGAAGATGAGCGCCAGCTCAACTCTGGCACTGCCCTTATCGACTTCCGCGTCGAAAGGG